CCTTTTAACTCAAAATGCATTCCAAATATCTGCTAGAGGCCTCTGGAAAATCCAGGAGTAAAGTTTGGCCCAATTTATAATCCCAGTGAGTTTAGATGCAACGCTCTGTAAGAACAGTAGGTCTGAGTTTGATTCTCTGTACAAATATATTTTATGATCAATATCACCCTGCTAGTCGTTTCTGCACAATTAATCATAAGAACATCGGCTCAAGTGAAATCATTCTGTGAAATGAGTGAACATCAAACATCATTGGTGAATTCAGAGGACTTGTTCTTAGCACATACAGTATGTGAGTGTTGCAGCTGAAAAACAACAGAGTTGTTGTTCTGTTGTTAAAAAAAAAAAAACATAGAAATACCAAGTAGATTTGAGTGGGGAAAATGCCAAAGGAATTGGATGCTATTTTATCACAAATTAATTTGCCATACAGTAGGTGGATGCCAAGAAAGATACTGTGGCGAAAAACTGCTGACAACATAGATCATGATAAACATCAGCCAGCATGAAACCATAGACAGTAAAAACAAATAAGGACGTAGTGTGCGTGACGTCACCCGTGGGTTTCCGAAGAGCGGTTTTGAAGCCTAAAGTGGGCGGAGCCGGCCGTCGCCATCTTGACAGCGCGTCACTCCCGGATAACAGAAAATGGGCAAAGAGGCGGGACGTGGGTGGAGCTGAGAAGCCTGTTGCTGAATAACTAGCTCGACGTGATCGAGTTTGCTCAGGCTTAGGAGCTAATGCTATATGCAACTGGCCTCGCGCTAAAGTGACAGCTGACTTGAAGAAGTAAAGCCAATAGTTAAAGTTCATGTTTTTGCCCTTTGAAATAATAGTTAAAAGACTGAGACTGTGTACCATTATGCTGTATTATTCTGCTAGTTAAAAATGTATTATGCAGTAACTTACAATATTGCTCTGAGCGTGTGCGTGTGACAGTTATTCATGCGCATTCATGACAGTCAGCGCGGCATCGCACGTCAAGTTCGTAGAGAGCTTTATTCATATTCAGTCCATTTTAAATTCTGATTTTGGCCGCCTCTCAAATAGGTCAAACCATAGATATTACCTAAGAAGTGCAAGTAAATGTGCTAGAAATCTGTGCTCATTCAAGTATGTGCATTTATTGCATGGACGGAGAAAGCACTGACACCCGCAGGATTTCATCTGACGGTGTAATGGATCCACTGAAGGCAAGTTGTAGAGAAGAACCGAAGTGCAGTTTATTACAAACAAAACTAAACATGAAACAAAAACATGGCGTGGCATGAACTCAAAACAAAAAACATGAACGTGAGGCTTACCAATGGTTACAGGGAAACAAAAACAAAAGACACATGGCAAACATGAGGGCTAAAAATGCACACAAGACTAATGACAAGACAAGGGACACCGGTGAACAATGAACCAATGACAACATGACAAGACAAAGTAACAATACATGAAAAAACCCAAACCTTGACAGACGGTAAATAAGCAAGCATAGTCTATCTGTTGCGTGAGAGCAACGGTACCGAAGAACGAGTGTAGCCTCTATATAGACGTTTTTAAATCTGAAAACTCCAAAAAGCAACGATATCCATTTTTCTGCTGTAAAGTTGGACATTTTAACATGAGGGATATATGGAAGTGACTCTCTTTTCGAGCCTGTCTCAAGCGGTCAGTTGGTGAACTGCAGTTTAAGTCACTTCCGTGTTGGCTTCAAGAGAGAGACGGGGAGGTTGCCCCTTGCATGAAACCAGGAGATATTTAGAAACCAATAAACCAAATAAATTTAAATGTTTAAGGTGACACTTTATTTGAATGTGTCCTTGTTACAGTGTAATTGCACACATAAGTATTGAATAAACAACATGGACTGCATTTAGGGTTAGGGCTGTGTTTAGTGTTGTTACTTGTAATTATGCGGAATTTACTGTTATTAATGGTAAATATATGTAAAATGTAACAAGCAGACAAAATAAAATGTTCATTTTAACTTTAAAGGTGTTTGCAAATGGATTTGGTACTGAATTGAAACCAGTTGAGCCCTAGGAGAATGCTGATTAGAATTACAAAACGTTCATCAAATCCCTAAAACCTACAAAGTACAACTCCAACACTTACTTACTAACAATCCTACAACATTACTTGTGACAAACACAGGACCAGAAATGATGGCTCTGTCTCAGTGCTGTCTAGAGCTGTCAATCAACATCACGATCATTGATGAGCCCCACTGAGCTTCTGAGCGGTTCTGCCAATCAGCTGATGGACGAGCTGAAGCTCAGGGCGCCGTCATGTAATCATCACTCACATCTGAAAATAAAGGAAACTTACTGTGCACACTTGTTTTTGGATTAGACACCAGTCTCTGAGATCTACATGTTCCAGGATATTTCAACTCCTTATGACAGATACATTCAACATAACCCACAATGGTTTATTGTATATAGAAGTAGTAGTGTTTATTTATCCCCGTAGGGAAAGCAGTTTGCAGCAAGCTCACACAGACATTTAAAAAAAAACACTGTTGGCATATACAAACAATAATTTAAAGCAGATAAATCTAATTTAGGATAACCAGACCAGCTGACCATCAATCAACACTAGATGAAGAATTTATAAATCTAATTGTTCGGGGGATAAAAGATAGTTTGGACTATCTTTTATGAAGATATGTTTGCAATCAGTGTCAAGATGTAGTCATGCATAATAATCATAAAACAATCACCTCCCTTCGTGGCAGTGCCGTCCCCCGTCGATTGCCACCCTGTAGTTAGGCTCATGACTGGAGAGGACATGACACAAGGAAGACAATGTCTTCTCTATTTTAAGGCCAATTCACTCACCCAGAAACCTGTTTCTTCCACAACAACCATTACAACTCTGAAAGAACAACTTCTTTTCTAGAGAAAATGCTCTGGAGATTTTTAGCATGCCAAAGTAGTCCACTTTAGGATACTTTTAAATACGTGTGACGGGAATAATATAGAATAAGTGAGAACTGAATGTAATGTTTTTTTGGAGACTTAATTGCTTGTTATTTGCAATTAAATGTAAATGTTTTACAATATTAAAATGTATATTACATGCAATTATCTGAATTTAAGAGTGCCCTTTTGACCCACTTAAGTAAAAAGAATACATATAAAATGTCATAATTGTCTTTGAAAAATATGGTTAAAGTGTACTGTTGAATGTTCTCACAAGCACTTAAAAAAAATATATAATTTAATGGCCATTTTGTGCTATGTATTTATGTGCAATTACACATTTGTAATGATGAATTTGCAATTTAGTATATTTAAAATATATTTACTACTGAATAACACTTCAATTGAAATTATATTCAAGTACTTCTCATGTGCTTTAGTAGTCTATAGTCAACACGTCAAAAACAAGTGCACTTCTTTAAAGCATGACAAACTATTATTAAAACACAGTGATTTAAAATGTACATAAAAAATTAGTTTGACATATTACAAAGTGCAGATTTTAAAAGTATAGTTAAGTGTGTTTAGAAAGATAGGGCAACACTTTATTTTACTGTGTACTTTTTTACACACGTAGTTACTATAAATAGTGGATAATTACATGTAACTAACCCTAACAACCCAGGCTCACACCCTAATTCTAACCCAAACCCTATAGTAAGTACATTTTTATTACTCTACTTAAATGTATAATTGCACTGTAACACGGACACCTTAAAATAAAGTGTAACTAAACAGTCTTTTAGTGGCCTTTTATTTCATTATATAATCTGCAAGTACAGTGAGATTAATGCTATTTTGAGTCATGAATGAGTCAATTGATGCTGATTGTGGCATTTTCTCTTTTCTTTCTTTCTCTTTCTTTCTTTTTTTTTGGTGGATATCTGGGGGCTTCAATATATAGATAGAATCATCAATTAAAGCCACTCTAAATATTTGCCTATCTCTCATGAGAATCATCATTGTACAAACCAGTTTTCTCTGTTGAAGTCGCTGCATAGTGTCTGGCTCAGTACAGATGCGACTGATGCAAAATTATTCATTGTGAAGTTAACAAGCTCTCAGCTTTCACAGACACTCTTATAAATAGATGTGTCTTAAAAGTGGCAGGCCTCCTTCATCAACAGCACTCTGCCTGCCCTGGTAAACACATTTAGAAGAGATTTACCCATTCTTGCAGGCTAATTGAGTCTAATCTTTATGGTTTCAACATTATAAAAAAATGACACGTCTATGCTTAAACATTAAAATGAAAACATCATGATTATTGATAGCCATGCTGAAACAGGATGGGCTTTGTTTCTGTCTGATTAAGTGACAGCCAACTGAATTTAATTAGTTTACCTTTGAACTCAAACCACTGATTAATTCCATTTAATTATCCAGACCTGAGCAACAGTAAGCTCATTTTACTTGCTTTTAAAATGCACCATTCAATTTCTTAATTGCACATTCAAACAAATTATCCACGAACTTTAACTAAATGATCATCTGAAGAACGTATAATATAAATTGTGGATAATAAGAGACGACAAAGGATTATCATCTTGTTTGTGAAACCCTTTAGAACTTATTAATTATCTGGTCTGAAAATGGTCAGATGTATACAATTGCCTTATAGAGTCTTATTCATAAATGTCCCCAAATATCTTACTGTGTCTGCAGGATGAAGACTGAAAGGTATATGCACAAACAGATGTTTAAGAAAAATACGTACAGCTTATTGTTCTATGCCATGGTCATTAAAAAGCCATGTATATCAGTCATTGATAGATAGTGACAATAATTAAAAAATACAGGCTAAATGGAAAGTTTTTGCTGCAGCAATACTGTTAATGTGTGACAGACTAAATGTATCTACAAATGCTACACTCTAGATGTCAGAATGAAATATAAAACTAAAATATACAGTAACACATTAGCAAACTATTTTTAATGAAACTTGTTTAAATTAAGATTGATATGTGCAGTTATTACCAACAAAGACTGTTCTGACCCTTAAAATAACACTCATTGCCCAGTGTATTCAGTTGTTTCAATAAGACAATTTTATTCGAAATACGAATTTATTGTATTAAACATGATGCTTTAATCTTGCTAAACAACTAATAATTAGTGCGTGCAGTGCTTACAATGTGTTTTACAGAGATGAGGTCCATAACAAAATAATCAATATGTGCCACAACTCATCTGCGTGTGCACATAGGCATATACATATTTTCTATGACAAATGTAAAGACTCCATGCCTGTATCTGATTTGAGATCTGAGTGGTTCATCTCCTAAATGTCCGCTTGAATGAACAGTGGAAAGGCGTGTGCGCAAAATGGAGACAGTGCGTTCAGTTGATCTCTACATAATAGTTTATTAGCCGGCCAAATAACACTGTGTCCTGGTTTTTAAAGAGGCCATCGAAACACATGTCCATCAGGTGGTCCACAAACTTAATTTCATCATAATCCTCATCATGTCTAGTACGCACCCACGATGACCGCCTCTACCTCTTTGGAGGGTCTCCGGTCCGTTACCAAAAAGTTGATCATCCCTTCCGACTTGATGAGCAAGTTACAGCCCAGGAAAAAGATCCCGAAGACTACGGTGAGGGAGAGGACGCACATCACCGCTATCTGAACTATTCTCATGATGAAGAGGCTCCTTTCATCCGGAGGGGCCGCCGTGAAGCCGTTATCCGTCACCACCGACGAGAGGTTACAACACAAGAGGATGTCCTCAGTCCGGTTGGAGAAGATTCCACTGTCCGTTTGGTTAAAAGTAGTATTCATGTCTACTGTTCACCAACACTTTGAAGAGTCCAAGAATTTAGGCAGTTCCGATTTGGAAGTCTGAACACATGAGAAATTGCGTAAAAAGTGTCCGTAAAGTCAGACGCACATATCCAACGTCTCTTCTTTTGCGCACTGGCGTCCCATGACGCGCTCCTGCTCTGATTCACAGTAACTACACTGAGCTCTTCTGCTCAACATCACACCTGCTCGGTTAAAAGCACCGAAAAAGCCGATGGGAGGTGACTCCCCACTCACAAGTGCATGAATTGTGACGCCACCTACATTAAAACTTGTAGTGTTACAGTCCTCCGATTAAAAAAAATATATAAAAGTTATTCATTTAAAAGCCATATATGTGGATCAGTGATAATTTTCGAGATGATGGTCAAAAAATAATTAAAAAACTATAATAGGCCATGTGAGTTAATGTGATGTGTCTTTGTATTCTAAATGTTTTAAATCATATCATATATTTGTAATATTTTTTTAAATAAACTATTATGTTTATTAAAATAAAAATAAAAAATAGCATTATTGTTGAACCATGATCTTTTTTAAAGAACGTTTAGTGCACTACACTGAGTAATACTGACATCTAGCGTGTGGATAAATAACTGAAAACAGGACTATTTGATGTGTCACTCCTTTGTGGCAACGACGGTGTTAACAGTAAGTAAAAAAAAAAAAAAAAAAAAAAACCTCAGTGATATTTTCCAGTAGCCTATCATCCATAAAACAATGTCAAAGTGTTACCAACATTATGCCTACATTTATTCAACAGGAGCTGGATGCAAAATGTTTCATAATGTCAGTCCACAAAGTTTGACTAATGCAGCTTTGAATCATAAATCACACTGTGTTTGTTCATTTAGGCCAGAACTGGCCCCCCTCTGGTTTCTCCCAAGCTGTGCTTCTCCACTACTGTCACCTGATAAAGTTTGTGGTTTAAAATACAGTTAATATTATCGATTTTATTGCACTGACACTATAAAATGAGAACAAAACCTAAATGAAATCGAGTTGAACGATGACACTATTGTCTTCTCGAGCATTGCTTTACAGCTGAAACTGAATTCATTTAATAATTGATGCACTTTACAGCATAAATACTGTTATTTTTCTGTTTATGAAGTTGTATTGAAATAATATGTATTGTATAAAGCGTTATATCAGGAATCAGAATCAGAAAGAGCTTTATTTTTTTTAGCTTTATTTTTTCTTTCAGCTGTTTGCAATGAGCAAATCAAACAAAAGTAATTAAAATAGCTCAACACAACAAATGTTTCAAGTGGTTTCCCCAAATTCAACTGAAAATGCAACTTTTTATGACTTCTGCAACCTGCCAAAATATGTACCCCCCTCCAAAATGTACAGATGATGGCCTATCATCAAGTGTTATATTTTGTAAATACTACACATCATGTCTAACAGTGGTGAATAGTGTGGTGGCAAACAATTTTACATCCCTGAATAAGAGACAAACATGATCAATTGTCTTTAAAGGTTATTTATCTTCTTGCAAGAAAAGGTCAACAGTCATACAGAGTGCCTGCAGAGTGTGACAGAGAAGGGAGGGCATCCTTTCTTCTTTATAGTTGACTCCCTCTATGTCATCATGAACAACATGTCCCATAACAAACACATTGTTGCATCCTACTAATAATGTGTAAAAGGCCCTTTGTCTCAGTCATACATTAGTGACACATTACTTTTTGTCAAGTCACGTATACAAGGTCATACACATACATACACAGACAAGGGTTAATAGTTCTTTGTTCGATCAATGTAGCAGAGAATCATGGGACTCCACATGCAATCCTCGTGCATTTTACTACCTTAATCTAATTACCATGAATATAAGAAAATGCACATATATAGAACATATTAAATTGCTTCCACAATAGATAATTTCAGACCGTTTTTCAACCTGCTATAAAAAGTATCCCCTCTCCATAATGCACAGATGATGGACTATCAACGTCTCCACTTCCTGCGGTGCCTGAAGAAAGCAAGGAAAGCCCCCCACCACCCATCCTCACCACATTCTACAGTCAGCGGCATCACTGTCAGACTCCTATGATCTTACAGCTGAAGACAGCTAGATCATAGGAACTCCTCTCCCACTAATCTATGACATCTACAATACAAACACACCCAAAACTCTGCTTGCTGTGTATAGTATGACTTGCATAGCAAAGACAAGTCTAGTAATGAATGTGAGGAACAACTCCCACTAAACTGCAGTGTTCACCCCAATGGTCAATAATCTACCCTCTAACTTAGTTAAACCATATGCACTGAAACCAATATCAGTATAATTGTCTATAAAAGCATATTTGAAACAAATATAGCAAAATGTGTAAACACTCCACAAGTAAATATATAAAAAAGATTAATTTATAAATCATGTGTAAATGACATAACCTTGTTATTATGAATGACCACATCCAATTTTTTTAGGACCATACACAATTAAGGAAATCCAGGGTAAAAATGCTGATCTCCAAGATGACAATGGGGCAATCTTCCACAAAATGAACATTGACTGAAGTTGAGCATTGAGGACACACCCAGAGTGCCACACTGGGATTTAAAAAAAGAAAGGGAACACTTTAGTGGTTGCATAAACAACATAATCCTCATCACAACCACATGCCCCACCCGCTACAGCTGTTGCAAACTCAGGAACACCCCCATCCTCAGCCCTGCCAGATAAAGCCCCACCACAACCCATCAGATACAGCCCTCACATCCTCAGGAACACCACAACCACCTGCCCCACCACAACCAGCAGCCTTACCAGCAATAGCCTTAGCCCGCCTTACCTCCTTCCTCAGCCATGCCAAATACACCCCCACCACAACCACCTGCCCCGCCAGCTACAGCCATCCCATCCTCAGAAACACCCCAACCAGCAGACCCGCCTGCTACAGCCATCCCATCCTCAGAAACACCCCAACCAGCAGACCCACCTGCTACAGGTCCACCAGCAACAGCCCCACCACCGACTCATGGACAGCTGTTGCAGAGAAATGTATGATTTATTTTCCATTTTAATGGAAGAGATGTTAATACCCAAGCACACTGGTCTCATAATTATCTCTCAATCACCCTTAATGATTTACATGAGACTATGACTGCTGTATACATTTTATGGACAATGTGGTTACAATAATGTATGTAGTGATGCATTACAAGCTTTGATCGTATTTTAATTGCCACTTATATTTTCCACATTGATTTACTAGATATTTGTATTATTCTTTTACTTCATTATTCATTATTTTTAAGCAGATGTACAGGATGCAGGAAAGAATGCCCATGTCCTCCTCTCTAAAGTAGGGGCTTACAACTTATTTTACTGGGATATTCAACATGTTGGTCTGAACATGGAGCTGGAAAGTGAGGTATGCTGCGTCTCATATGACGCTAAAGGGTGCCATGTGCGTTGGATATAGACGCTTTGGCAAAAGAGTCAGTATATTACGCCTTGGGATGAGAACGGGCTCGAATTACACATGTGATTTTGCACATGTGAAATTTAACTGTGAAAACATGTTAAAAGTACATGTGAAACATGTTTTGCACAGGGGAACCATGTGCTTTTAAAACATTTTCGTTTGAATCCCATGATAATTTCCATGTGAAACATAAATTTACATGTGAAACGGATATAAACCCATGAGATAACGTGAAATGCATGTAAATTCCCATGTGAAACCTAAGATCACATGTAAAACATGTATATTCCCATGTGAAACCCATCAACAAACATTTCTCATATAAATCAATAATTGATGTATGTTAAACCAATATGCACTCCATGTAACTTCATGTGGAACCCATGTACAATCGTGTATACACATAAAATACATGCATGAAACTCAAAGAAGGTGTGTGGCCGACAAGCGGTCATGGAGGTATTCCATGTCGTGTAAGAGGAAAGAAAGTTAAAGCAAATAAAGTAGGCTACATTTTATCAGACTCAAACTCAACCTTTGACACCAAAAGCAAGCCATGACCCTGTTGAGCTGTTGGTATGAAAAGTAAAGGCACTATGCTGTGACTGAGGCACAAGGCACATCTAATAAGTCACATTGAGTAAACAGCAATTTACCACAACAACATGTTCTTAGGGCCTATACACTCAAAAAAATGATATGTTGACTTTACTTAACTTTTTTATGTAAACAGGTTCCACCGGTTCCACATAACTATGTTTCGTTAAACAAACATAATATGTTCATGTAACTTCAACATCATGGAATTTGGTCATTTTAAGCGACCCAATTAAACTCTGAGCTAAAGAGTTAATTAAGTGAATAACTGAGTGATGATTGAGCATTATTGAAGACACCTGATGTTAACAAGCAGAACTCAGAAATTGGGTTTAATATAAGTTCAGTGATTGAGGTCAAATGATTGTGAAATAATGATTAGGTTAAATCACAACCAACACCATCAGATGACCTTTGTTTATTGTTCATCCGGCTGTTATAACTCATGTACAGCAACCAAACAAAATCTAAAGTTAATAAGTTAATGGTCAAGAGCCCAACTAAAACACACACTTATCTCCATAATGGTGACTTAAACATTCCGGTTTTCTCCTTCAGAGATTCTGCTTGTTAACATCAGGTGTCTTCAATAATGCTCAATCATCACTCAGTTATTCACTTAATTAACTCATTAGCTCAGAGCTTAATTGGGTCGCTTAAAATGACCAAATTCCATGATGTTGAAGTTACATGAACATATTATGTTTGTTTAACGAAACATAGTTATGTGGAACCGGTGGAGCCTGTTTACATAAAAAAGTTAAGTAAAGCCAACATATCATTTTTTTGAGTGTATCTATTTTACAACATGAACACACATATAACTGATTCAAATTGAGCTTTATTTCAAAACATGCAATGCAAATGCAAGCAGTCCATACAATTTAGAAAAAAGCCCCATAAATAACTCAACAAACAAGTGATACAAATTAAAACATGCAAAGCATATATTAAAATTAGCCATACAAATGCCTCTAAAATGCAGATGTAGCGGACGTGTGTGTGTATTGTGTGTTTATGCATGCATGTTGTCTCAAGTCCTCTGTGTTTCCTTAAGCAGACTTCCTGTTTGGGATAGAAAAACAAAATCAAAGATTAGAGCAGTACAAACACCAGTCTATCCTGATAAAGAAATGTTTCATTTATTTTC